TCGTCCCAGGCCAGTGCTGCCTTTTCGGGGCTCCCTCCCGGGTCTGCCCACGGCGAGCTTCCCTCGCCACGTCTCAGTAGTCTGTCGACGGCAGGCAGTTCGGGCCCTATGGCGGGCTGCGCCGCCATCAAAAACTGGGCGGATTCGCGCAGCTCATGCACAAGCTTCACCGGCACCCTCCTCACGCCAGGCTGAAGCTCAGCCAGCGCCAGCAGGTGGGCCGCCTCGGTGCACTTGGGCTCTGAGAGTCTCACCTAGACGTGAACCGACAGCGGTTGGTTCACGTTTAGGTGGAGTCCATTGATGGCTGCGGCCCCCTAAGTGCAGACCATGGCCCGGTCGCACTCGGCCCCCGAAAGCCAAGGGCGCAGGCCCACCTTCGGCTCGATAATGTTGCCGTCGTCTATGAGCCACTTGGAGGTGTACCTCGAGGTGTCGTGGACCTCCGTGTCTGGTGGCCTCCTCCTCTCGTGGTCCGCCTTGGCTCCTCAGGCGAATGACATATACTCGCCGGGGCACCGGGACCGTGTTGATAAGGATAACCCGCTCGTTCAGCCCCACAGGTGCGCGAGGTGCCGAACTCCGGGACGTCGTCGTCCCTGATGTGGTGCCACTTGAAGGCACGCGCCACGTCCCTCTTAGCAACCACCTGGGGGACGTGGGGATGTCGTGCCCCCAACCACAGGGACAGGCGCACCAGGTCCCCGGGGGGGAGGGTGCCATTCCATGGGCGACTGCACATTGGCCATCCTCATGTCGTGGATGGGGCGTCCCTCATTGCTGACGGTGCGGTCCAGGAGCATCGTCGGCACTCTCCCTGATTGGCTCTCGATCACGTGCCGACGCGCTGAGGATGCTCTCTACCTCTGGCGTGGCCCAGAGGACGGCCCCGTAGGTGGTGTCCTTCTGCGCTTTCTCGTACATCTCCAGGGCGTGGCCCCGGGCTGACGCGCGCGGCTTCGACACCTGCCGCTGCCTAGGAGTCTCTCGGCGCATCGGGACCCCGTGGCGAGCCATCTCCAGCAGGTATGCTCGGTGATCCTCCTCCAGGCCGTCGGCGTATACTCGGGCTTGAGCACGCCTGCCAGCGTGTTCCCCAGCTCGGCGCTCTGAGCCTCCCGGAGCGGGGCCGCGGCGGAATCCGCTGAGCCGGCGGCGGTGATGAGTTTGTTACCTTTTTGGGTGATCTCCTCCTGGCATCGCTCGGACGTGTGCATTTTTTCTTCGGCGAGGACCATCGAGGAGCATCCTTGATCATTTGGCGAAAAGACCACGCACGAAACTGAAAAAAACAGGGAATGGACGTCCGAGCGACGGCAAGTCCTTGACGAGTTCGGGCTTGAACTCCGAGTGCGCGAGGCACCACTTGAGGCAGTCTGCTGCCTCTCGTGAACCTGGGCCGGGTCGGGCTGCCTGCGGCCCCCCCATGCGGTGGGGCTCTCCAGCTCTGGTCCTCCGCATGTCTTGCTGGAGCCGGAGGCCCGTCTCCTGGGGTCGTAGGTGGGCTGGACGTCCTCCTCCGTGCTTTGACGCGTGACAAGGGCCCCCCCCCAGACTACAGGCACACTCCCTGGACTACGGGTACCCCTCCGCCGGACTACAGGTACCCAGCCCCGGAATACTATACTGGTATCCCCCGGACTGCAGGTACTCTTCCCTGATTGCAAGCACCCCCAGAGCTACTGAGGGACACAGAGTGCGTGTCTAATGTAGCTCCGACCGTTTCTGCTCCTGTTTTTTCTTCCCCTCCTCCAGGCTCGGCGGCGGGGCTGGGGCCGGCTGAGCTGGCCGAGGCCCGGCAGGTCCTCGAGCGCCAGCAGGCCCTCGGCGTCGCCCGCGACCGCATCTGCGACGCTGGCCGCGACCCGGACTTCCTGAGGGAGGCGATCGCGAAGGGCAGGCGTCAGGGGCAGCGCTAAGCCCAGACCCCCTCGAGTCCTCAAAACATCACCACGGACAATTCTGCCCTATGTTCGGCCTCTGTGGGGGCCTTTGCCTGGCCTCGGGGCCGTCAGAAAACAACTCGGGGCGCAGAGCCGGTCCCGGGGAATGGGTCGTGACCTTGGGGGTCGACGTCGCGAAAAAATCATGACGTCGGGGTCTGGGAGCGGGGCCAGTGCAGGTCCGAGGGGACCACATATCCGACGAATGTTGTTCAGGAGGGGAAAAAACACACAGACACAATGAATCGTCGATTCCCAGGAAAAAGGTGGAAAATATGGGAATTGGGGGGGAAGACAAAACCCAGAAAATATGGGAAAATATTGGACATCTTTTATTTGTGTGTATTTAGTTGTGTGTCCTGGGGCCCCTTCAGTTGTTCCGTTTTCAATCCGGGCGCTTTTCACCGATTTCGGCTTCTGGGTGCCCCTCAGGAAGAGGGTCGGGCTCTCGGGGGTCGCGGATGGAAGCAATCACATCGCCAGATATTTGGGTATAGGCCGTTCTCAGGCGTGTTCGCGGGGTCCCGGCGGTGGTCACCCACTGATCGCCGATATAG